TCAAATGAAGAGTGAAAATCACCACATAATAATTACTCCTTTGCCCCAAAAGAAATAAAATGGAACCATAAACCAGGGTCAACAAATCTAACTTCCAGTATGAACGACACCAACAGTGTCTGGGCCACCTTGGGTGCTAAAAGGTGGCAGAGCCATACCCAAGGAAGGCTATTCCATTTTTTCTCCCTCTTTGGGAAATCATACTGCGCAAATAGGACAAAAACAATTCCTACCCATATATATTAACTCTGAATCCCAGGAAGTTCTCATTGTAATGCTAAGGTAGTTCACAAATTGCTTCCCGTCACAATTTCAAATCTTTTGAATTCCCTAGTTAAAATTCTTGGCTATGCCATTAAACTAAACAGTATGAACTTGGACATCAAGTTGAACGTTTTATACTCGTTAAAAGATTATTCTTAAAATCAATAAAATATATAACTCCAAAAGAATAATAGTGCCACAACAAATTCAAATCAAGATGACAGTAACCACATATGAGTCACTCCCATCCCAAAAACATTTTGAAACATCCATTTCTTAACATTTTCCAAAACAATTTAAGTTATACACTGACAGATTTACTTACCACTGCTTCAATTTCACTTTAGAGTTCATTAAAAAAAAGTCTGTATCCTTTCCTCTTAACTCTTTACTTCTAACTTCCAGTATGACATATTTACGACCACAAGATTAAAGAATATTTTAGTACATTCTACATAACTTTAATGTAAGACCACAATATCCGAAAACCGTCTTTTACTTTCATTAACTTAGTGCAAAGTCAAAATGATACAAACAAATTGAACCAGAGGGAGTAACCGATAATAGCAAGTTACTTCTTAATTTTTACCAAATTACTAATTAATTATTATCAATACATTTACCATAACTCATGATTGTGTAAACATTGTTACACCATCAGCAGAAAAATTAAACCCGTTTCAAGCTGATTTATCATATGGTCAATCAATCAATAGTTATTATCTCAAAAAGTCGCTTTCTTTGTCAAGTGATTTACCATAACTCATGATTGTGTAAACATTGTTACACCATCAGCAGAAAAATTAAACCCGTTTCAAGCTGATTTATCATATGGTTAATCAACTAATAGTTATTATAGCAGAAAATCACATTCTTTGTGAAGCGATTTACCATAAATCATGATCGTGTAAACATTGTTTATGCTAGTCACCATAAAAATTAAACTCGCTTCAAGATAAAATGGAGTTGACGTCTCATATGATCACACAACCAATAGTTATTATCTCAAAAGGTCACTTTTTTTGTCAAGTGATTTACCATAACTCCTGGATCGTGTAAACATTGTTGATGCTAGTCACCATAAAAATTAAACTCGCTTCAATATAAAATGGAGTTGACTTCTCATATGGTCGCTCAACCAATAGTTATTATCTCAAAAAGTCGCTTTCTTTGTCAAGCGATTTACCATAACTCCTGATCGGTTTAACATTGTTGATGCAAGTCACTATAAAAATTAAACTCGTTTCAAGATAAAATGGAGTTGACTTCTCATATAATCACGCAACTAACAGTTATTATCTCAGAAAGTCACTTTCTTTGTCAAGCGATTAACCATAACTCCTAATAGGTTTAACATTGTTGATGCAAGTCACTACAAAAATTAAACTTGTTTCAAGATAAAACGGAGTTGACTTTTCATGTGGTCACTCAACCAATAGTTATTATCTCAAAAAGTCGCTTTCTTTGTTGAAAAACAATGGAATCAATACCAGGATTGACTTTATGATATAATAATTATTTGACAAATCAACCCCATAAAATGCACATATTTCAACAACACATATAAAATCAAAGTAACAAACTTTTAAACAAATATTTACCTTCAATGGAGGAGACAAGTTGGAGGGCATTTTTGGCAACAGAAATTACTTCAGGTCCAATACCATCGCCGGGAAGAAGAGTAATGTTGTAGCTTTTGCTGGGTGAAGAAGCGGAACAGCGAATAGTACCCCATTTAGTGGCGTGTTTGGGTACTTTTTTGGAATGAAATTGGTTAAAAGGAGTTGCAGTGAATTGTAAAGAAGAAGAAGAAGCCGCCATTGATGAAGAATGTGAGCTGAAGCAAACTGAATTTGGGGAATTATCGAATCTAATCGATTTATTATACGGGTTTAGGCCCAATGGGTCCAATCTTTAATTAGACTATTTAAGTTGTATACACAAAGTTAGGCAATATTGTAATTTGTACGGCTCGGCATAAATATCAGAAAATCGAATCGAATAGAAAATTTTTAATTTTTTGGTGTTGGTTCTTCGGTGTTTGATTAAATGTTGTTTTTTTTCGAAACTTCGATTCTTCAGTGTAAGGGTTCCGAAATTACGGTGCGCAGAAGAATCGTATTAAATAAATTTTAAAATATCTATTATATTACTTAATTTTAAACTTTACTTGGCTCATTTCAATTTTTATAATTTAAGCCTAAACTTAAGTAACAAAATAGTAAACCCTAACGACATAAAGTCTAAACTAAACAAAATTCAATTTAATTCACGTTTGACAACTCGGTGTTTCTACTTTCTACTTTGTGATTTTATTATTTTATGTTATTACTTTGAAGTGTGAACAACAAATTGATGTTCTTACCTTTTATTGTTAGACCGTTAGTTGTTATTTTAAAGTTTGAAGTGTGAGTGAACAACAATTGTTACTTTATCATATTTTCTCTTTATTTTTATTCACACCGAAGATCGATTTAAAAACGCCGAACTAAACTGCACCGAAGCGAATCGATCTAGTTTGATTTGAAATATGGTGCACACTTTTTTAAAATCGAATACCGAAGAACCAAATTGAAATTTGATCGAACCGAACGCTCACCCCTACAATATTGAGTAAATTTATTTATTTTTCTTCTTTTTTTTTGACAAAAAATCTATCATACTAATTCTTTCTACGGTTTAAAATAATTAGATATTTTTTGGTAATTAATACGTTCAATTCATACTAGATTTGAAGTTAGATACATTGTTTCTTCAGATTTTAAGGCAAATACATGTATTAAAGATATTAGATATATACATGTATCTTTGATATCGATACGTTCTGAAATGCAAATTCATAAGGAGAGAGGCGAGTAAGAGAGACAATGTATATCATATACATGTGAATCACACTTGAATATAACGTATCTCGAATAAAATTACGCCTAATCTGACCTCGCATGTATCTTAGTGTGCCATATATAAATGTGATTTCAAAAACTAACGAAAAGATACGTAATTAGACTATAAACTAGTACGATTTATATTGAATTTTTTATCAAGATTAATTATTCTTTTTATCTCAATTTTGCGATAGTCAAACTTTTAAATTTGTTTGTGCATTTCAACACGAAAGTTTGCATATCTTTTTTAAAGTAAAATTACATTTTTGAAAATTATGTAAAAAAAAAAAAACTTATAAATCATAATAATTAACATAAAATTAGTTATAAGGCATATAAAAAAGTGGTCGCTTAAAAATTCGTTTGACTTTAAAATTAAATAAAAAAGTAGATATTGCATAAATTTGATATGAAATTAATGATCGCGATATATTTAGATTAACAAAACTTGTATTATCTCCATTCTCTGTATGACTTGTTACATTCTTCACAAGTTTTGCATGTATGTTGTTCTAATTTAATTTATTTTCTTTTAGAATAATGTATCCACATAAAAATAAAAGTGTAACACAAACCAATAAGTTCATCATATTCATGCCAAGTGAAAATGTATTTCATAAAAATGTTACATATACATATGATCACCAACATACATTGGTTATAAAAATTTATATGACATGAAATCAAAAATAAAAATAAAAATGTGCCTCCATATAATCGCGATCAAAATATAACCTCTTTTTAACTCCTCAAAAATAGCTCGAATAACATTTGATTGAGCGAGCGTAGCTTAGGTTATTCTCGATACGTTGAAATTGAAATTAAACTTATAGTTGAGGAGGAGGAGGACTAAAAGTTGGGAATGCAAATTTACCATGGTTATGGCACATATCATAGCATTCTTGTTCAGCATATAATGGACTTCCTTCACCACCAAATATACCTTTATAACAATTTTCATAACATTGTTCATGTCCTTGTTCCATTTTAAATTTTCTTCCTGAAAATTCAAATACTGGCCCCTCAGGACCTTGGGGGTGGGGGTGGGGGTGGGGGTCGGGGTGAGGCGAGCAAGGTTGGGGGTGGGGGTGGGGGTGGGGTATTTCCTCATGTGCATATGCAAGTTTGCTTGAAATAAAGATAGTAACAATGGCAATTAAAAAGATACTAGTAATATTTTTGTTAATAGCCATTATTTCTTTTAATTCCCTCTATACTTTCCTATTTTTTTCTATGAGAAAAGTTAAAAAGAGGGAATAAAAAAGATAATATGAGAGTGATAGAGGGAAAAGGTGTTTTTTATAGGTGAAAAAATGATAATATTTTTGCTAAAAATTAGGTTTTGGTATAGAGTATTTAGTGGATTGTCCATTAAAAATTCTAAATGTAAGAGAAGGGATGTCCACCCAAAAGTCTATTGTGGTAAAGAGAGAAATAAGGAAGGAAAAAGAAAAAGGGAAATTATGAATTTTTTTACGAGTTTAAGTTACAAGTTCACATGGTACTTGCGCTTTTGCACTCAATGATGAAGTAGCCCAAGAGACAAATTGTGTGAAGTCTGTTGAGCAATGTTATTGGCTTGGACCATGTCAAAGGTTGCGACATGCGGAATACAAACCTAATGTGCTTCAACTTTTTTCTGACTATAGCAGAAACTTAGTACATCGAACTATCCCGTATATCTTGGCCCCCTTTTTTTGTTTTTTGACATAAAATGAAATGATATGTGGATGCAATTGAAGTTTGAAACTGCATTTTCTTCAGTAACAACTTATATTCGTAACACATTTTCCTTTACTATCTTAATTGATAATTAAGTCTATTATTGTGCACATTTGATGTCACTTAAAATATCAAAAACAACAACTATTTAGCTGAAATTTCATAACAAAGTGAGGCTATACAATAATACAAATGATAGCTTACATATCAGCAAATAAAGGCTAGGCCAGTTCTACTACTAATGAATTTACCTCTGATCTTGAGGGAGAAAATAGATAAGGCTTGGGAGGCATTTGCAAAGAGTCTAGTTTCCCTTCTAACATTTCAACAACCTTGCTCATCGATGGCCGATTTGAGGGATCAGTCTGTATGCACCATAAACTCGCTATCACCATCTTTCTTGCACATTCGTTCTCCTCTTCATTCATTATCCCGATTAGTTGAAGCTCTTCTTCTAGTTCAAGTCGTTGATAAAGCCAATGTGGAAAGTAGATTTCACTAGTGCGATCAACTCCTACATCAACATTTTTTCTTCCTCCAACCATCTCTAGGACCATCATTCCATAGCTATAGACGTCAGACTTGTGAGAGACACCTCCCAAGTTTCTGCAAACAATTTCCGGAGCAATATAGCCTATAGTACCTCGTGGACCTAACATTGACACGACACTCTCCTTTTTTATGCATAGTTTGGCAAGGCCAAAGTCAGAGATCTTTGGACAAAAATCCTCATCAAGTAAGATATTATGAGGCTTTATATCAAAATGCAAAATCCGAGTGTTACAACCACGGTGCAAGTACTCCAATCCTCGAGCAATGCCTAGTGCGATTTTGTATAATATTGGCCAACTTAATTGGCGAACATTGTCGGATCTTTTTTCATAGATAAACTTTTCAAGAGATCCATTAGGCATGAACTCATATACAAGAGCTCTTTTCTGTCCCTCAAAACAGAATCCCACAAGGCTCACAATGTTAACATGTGATGTTCTGCTAATACTTGCCACTTCGTTAACGAAATCTTCACCACTGCCTTTTAGTTCATTCAGGACCTTCACTGCCACTTCACTCCCATCACGCAAACTTCCTCTGTATACATTACCAAATCCTCCATGGCCTAGTTTGTTTCTGAAGCGACCGGTGATTCTTTTGATGTCTGTATAATTGTATCTGTTTGGAGCATATGATCCATAGTTCTTTAAGAATTCTTCAACTTTTTGATGATCCTCAGCATTAGATTCCCAACACCTGAGGTATTTGTACCACAAAATCTTTTTTCTGAAGCAGAAGAGTAAAATCAACAGTCCAACAGTAAACAAACTTGCACCTGTGTGAAAAAGATGAAGTCATGCCCCATCAGAGACTACAACAACAACAACATAATAGCCAATGTAATCCCACAAAGTAGGGTCTGGGTAGGGTAGGTGTAAGTAGACCTTACTCTACACCATGGACCTTCGGCACGAGAAAAAAAAAACAGTTGGGAAAAGGAAATAACAGAAAATGAAGAGACCATGGCAAAACACTACAGAAAGCATGATCAAACATTCTAAACAATAGCTACAACATAAAATATGACAATCGAAGCACAACAGTAACAGAAATCTAGCAACTAGATACAGGATTATTGCTATGCTACTAATAGGAAAGGATAATCGAGAACATCTGCAAACCAATACCTGTGGCCACCATGAACCAGATTATCCGAAGGTAACCCCTTTTTGATGTTCCAGCTGTTACAGTGCTAACATTTGCAATACCAATACTTTTAATAACATCTGCAACACCAAAGCTTGTGTGAGTTTCAGATTATAAAACTTTTCTCCGATTAAGCGAAAAAGTCTGATAATGATAGAAGGAGAAAAAGATTTTAATTTGGAACGGAGGCAAGTTTTCCCCCACATGGCTCCGCCCCTGGCCCTAACCCCAGTTTTGCTCCCACATGGCTCTTCCCCTGCCTTACCCCAAGTTCTAAAACAGTGGATAAGTACATATATGGAGATGTCTACCTTTGTGACAAGAAAATTTGTTGGTTTTATTAGTCTGGCATTGACCTCCACCATAATGACATTTGTTACATTCCTCAGATAATTTCCATTCTACTAGAATTGCAGGACCTAACATGTCGAACAAATCACCATGAGTTGCCTGAATTGGCAATCTGATAAGTGAACAGTTGGTAGGAAGATTGTCTGCTGCTATGTATTCATCATCATGTCGGGAAAGGTTGTAGTATATGCTAAAGCCTTCACAGCCGGTGTACATATTATAACCAGCAAAATGATCGTTCTTCTTCTGCGTAATGTTACGGGTATTATTACTGGTACTGATGCATTTGTAGAAGCTTATTATATTAATCATATGGAAAGACATAAAAGAAGAGTATGGAAGGGAGAAATTTTTGTTAAAAGCCTGGCACTTGTGTTGCGTCAACGTTGTTTGAAGCTTCGTGTCCCCAAGCCAAACTGATAAATTATGCATCTCTAAAGCATAGTACTAATATCCCTCAGGAAGCAGTCGGATTCTCGGATATGGTTTAGCATCACAACCAGATAAGAACATTATTCCACATTCAGGTTGTGTAGAAAGAGAGAAAGGAAAGCTTAGGTCAGTAAAATTTCCACATGAAAATGACTTTGGACAAGTTGAATCATTTCTGCCCTTTGCCTGAACTAAGATCAGGAGAAGTGATAGGAGATAGCTTACATATGAAGTGATAGCCATATTAAATATCTCGAGAAGAGGAAGACTAGATTATGAACTCATTTGTTCACTACAACTTAACATTTAAAAGCATAGTTGATTTGGAAAATTTGTGAGAAACGTGTATCATGGTGTAAAGACTTGAAGTCTTGCATCATTATTTAGACTTAGTCGTCAAGCCTAGTGAAGAGACAACTATCACTTTTTTTTACTGAGTTTTATAGCCATTGTTCCTTTTACCTACCTAAACTATATATATCACTCTCTTTGTATTAAAACACACCATGATGCAGAGTTCGCAAAACAGGCCAATTCAACATCGAAGGTATGTTTTAGTACAGATGGAGTGATAGTTTAGATAGGTAAAAGTGAACAATGGATAGTTGAGATATGAAACTCGCGAAAAGGTGATAAGAGTTAATGGGAAAAAACACACCTATATCAAAGTCTATTCTAACATTACTGGGAGTGGAAAAGTCTCAGAATTATCAATAGATACTTCCAACATCTAAAGGACTTTTCTCCTCTACTTATGCATCCTATCCTTTTCTCTTTTTTCTTCGTTTAGTCACAATCATTTTCCAAGTAGGACAGTACATACAATTCTATTCTAACATTTTTAGACATAAAATGCTAGAGAGACAAGAATTGAACTTAGAGACTTAATTTTCTTCACTATACACTGAAATTCCAAGAACATTTTGCTTCATAGTCTTTATATACAAAATAAGTTATCTGAGGAACAAATTTTATTTGACAGAACCTACATAGTGTGCTTCTGATGCCAATGTTCAATAGAACATTTAACTAAGAAATGAACCTACATAAGTGTTGACATTCTTGGGAATGATGTACTAGTTAATCGTTTTCGTTCCATCGCATACTCGATTAAAGGAGTTTTTTTTTCAAGAAGAGAGATCTCAAACTTAAAGGACTGAGAACTCTTCTTCCTCAAGAAATTTTGAAGAATAGGGAATTCAAGTCTTTTTAATATTTAACTTCCATGTAGTAATATACATCCTTGACAACTAATGAAAATCACAAAATGAAATTGAAAGCTATGGTTGAACACTTGAACTAAACCTTTCTTCTCTTTGCTAGTTAAGTACCAACAAGTACTTAGTTAACTAAACTGTCTTGCATTTCTTTCAAACCATTTTCTGCAAAACGATTTTCTTGAGCTTAGGGTCTATCAGGAACAACCTCTCTACTCCACAAAGGTGATGCAAGTTTTGCATACACCCTACTCTTCTCACACCCCACTTGCGGGACTATACTGGATATGTTGTTGTTGTTGTTGTTGTTGCCAGTTCTATTGTTGATGAATCTACCTCTGATCTTGAGGGAGAATATAGGTAAGGCTTGGGAGGCATTTGCAAAGAGTCTAGTTTCCCTTCTAACATTTCCACAACCTTGCTCATCGATGGTCGATTTGCCGGATCAGTCTGTATACACCATAAACTTGCTATCACCATCTTTCTTGCACATTCGTTCTCCTCTTCATTCATTATCCCCATTAGTTGAAACTCTTCGTCTAGTTCAATTCGTCGATAGATCCAATGTGGAAAGTAGACTTCACTCGTGCGATCAACTCCAACATCAACATTTTTTCTTCCTCCAACCATCTCTAGGACCATCATTCCATAGCTATAGACATCAGACTTGTGAGAGACACCTCCCAAGTTTCTGCAAACAATTTCTGGAGCAATATAACCTATAGTACCTCGTGGACCTAACATTGACACAATACTCTCCTTTTTTATGCATAGTTTGGCAAGACCAAAGTCGGAGATCTTTGGACAAAAGTCCAGGATATTGTGAGGCTTTATATCAAAATGCAGAATCCGAGTATTACAGCCACGGTGCAAGTATTCCAATCCTCGAGCAATGCCTAGTGAGATTTCATATAATAATGGCCAGCCTAATTGGCGAACTCCGTCAGATCTTTCCTCATAGATAAACTTTTCAAGAGATCCATTTGGCATGAATTCATAAATAAGAGCTCTTTTGTGACACTCAAAACAAAATCCCACAAGGCTCACAATGTTAACATGTGATGTCCTGCTAATACTTGCTACCTCATTAATGAAATCTTCACTATTACCTTTTAGTTCATTCAGGACCTTCACTGCCACTTGACTCCCGTTAGGCAAACTTCCTCTGTATACATTACCAAATCCTCCTTGGCCTAGTTTGTTTTTGAAGTAACTGGTGATTCCTTTGATGTCTGTATAGCTGTATCTTTTTGGAGCATATGACCCAGAGTTCTTCAGAAATGCTTCAATATTTCTGTGATCCTCAGCTATAGATTCCCAAAACCTGAGATTTCTGTGCCAGAAAATCTTTTTTCTCAAGCAGAAGAGCAAAATCACAACTCCGATGCAAGAGAAAACTGCAAATGTGGGGGGAAAATGGAAAGTCATGCACCGGAAAGAGCCTGGTTTTGAGGCAGCACAGCGATTACAACATTTGCAAAACATATATTAAAATAATTCTAAGTTAGATCAAGGCATTACGAGATTTTTGTGCAAGTCTAATTACAGATATTAGACATGTACCTGTGCCTAGAATCAGTCCCAAGTTTCTTTTTGCTTCTGCAAATACACAGAAATGAAAGAGTAATAAGTCACAATAAGAGTGAAAGCAATTCACTTCCGTTCACGTTGAATTATTAAACATCTTGGAATGAACCAACCAACACACATCTAAATCCATACCAAAAATGAAACCAGACATACACAAGCAACTGACAAACTTCTTATATCCAATACCTTTGCAGCAAAAAAAGTTGTTTTCGATGTCACTCTGGTATCGCCTTCTTTATGAGATAGTTAGAATAGTTTAAAGACAATTCCCAATCTAATGTGAAACTAGGAGTCAATAGATCAAACAAATCAGAAGAATTTTGTTCTGAAGGTGAATGATGAATTTGCAGGAAGATTGCTAGCTAGAATACTACGTCTTTGATCAGTTCGTGGTTTATGACACTATATGCTAAAGGCATCACGACTCAAGTAGTTCTTATAACTTTGAAATAACTATCAATCCGCTTACTGTTATTTGAATGTACAAAGTAATATGTTGTTGACTTAAAATAGAACACGAGGTGGGAAAAGATAACTTATGGTTCCAATTCTTCGACAACGAACTCTGAAGTTTCACCTTGTTGGTGTTCGATTCCTCATCTTTTAATACCCTCTCCCATTTCCCCTTCGCCTACCACCAATTTTTTTATTTATCTTTTCTTTTAAAAAAAAAAAGTTGGCTGCTCAAAATTTTGCGGTTAACACATAATCCAAATCCTTAATGCAGCTATATCTTGATGCCTAGATCATCAAACGATACTTTTTTGTGCACTTGGTAATCACAAGAAAAGAACCTGAAGCACGGCACCTAATCATAAGATAAGGTTCTTCATAATTATACTCGAAAATTAACTGCTAGATAGGGGCTTACTGGTAGGTTGGCAACTCGAAGCATGAGGCCTGTCAGTGCAGAAACATTTGAATTGATAATTGATGACATCAAATCCGCAACGTCCCCCACTTTCTGTACACTCACTGCAGTCACTTGATATCCAGCTCAATCTAAACCCCCTTCTCAGTAAGACTTGATAGTCAATAACTCGATTACTCCCCTCATTTCCAAGCAGTTCTACTGGTATTATTACATGATCTTTACACGCTTGTAATGCAGACTCAAAGCCTTCATCATCATCAAACATTGCAAGAAACCAATCATTCACATTTTCTCCACCACAACCAAAACCAACCCTGTGCTTCAAAAGATCCTCGGATATCGATCCATTACACTTTGACAACAAGTGAATTCCTGATTCCTTAACAAACTCAAAAGGGAGATCATCGAGTGACACGTTCTTGATATCAGAAACACATCCATTCTTTACACTACTGTTAAAGATTGAATTTTTAAGCTGAAAAGTATCATCTTGATATCTAATATCTTCAACTATATACTCATTTTCAGTAATACGTACAACAGGAAACCCTTGTTCACTACAATTTAGCCCAAATCCAGGGTATCCACAGTAAGATTCTTGAACATCTTCAATATAAAATGGGAAGCTTATTCTTGGACCATATCTACAATTTACTGGTTTATTACATACTACAAACTGTGGATCAACAACAGCACAACATTTATCTATTTGCAAAATGAAACAGAAAACACAAAGGTTTAACAATGCTATCAAGATAGACCTTTTTTCTTGGTTCATCTTTAAGCTTAAACAACTGAAAAATATACTACTACACAAGTAGATAATGAAAAATATACCAAAGAGAGGAGGGGTTTCTTGGATTTTACCTTCTTGTTAGCAATAAGTTGACTTCATTTTGTCTACATATTCCATACAACTCTGTATCTACCAAAATTGAATTTTCAAGATTAAACTTTACTGGGGTCAAGCTTCTTTTTTTTTTACAAGCATAGCGCTAATTTCACACAATATTTGGCATCTCCTATTAGCAACAAGTACAAAATAACTCTAATGGGTCAAGTTTTTAATGAAGAAGTTGCAATTATTGACCAATAATCTATTTGACTAAGCTTAAAAATGTATGCTTTTGAGACATAGTCCATATTCACACACGATAAAGAAAAAACACAATACATAAATATAAATAGGATCCTTAACTTGACGTCAATTGACAATTATGACCTTTGACTTTAGATGTACACAAGTAGACACTTAAACTTGTATAAAATTGAGCAAATGAACACGATCGTCTTACGTGGCACCCTACATGACAATTTTGTATCTTACATGGCATCGCATCCTATGTGTATTATGCCATGTAGGACAGTTGTGTCTACTTGTTCAATTTTATAATAATTTAAGTGTCTACATATTCAAAGTTAGAAGACATAGTTATTCGTTGACGTCAACTTAAAGGTCATATTTATGAATTATGCCAAAAGAAAATATACAAGATAACACCAAGGGAGGAAGGTGTTGTTCTTTTATTTTTTTTCCTCCCTTTTCCATTCTTTTGGACTACAAAAATAATTATTTGTCTAATATTAATATGACTTCACTTGTATTCACATTCTATTGACTTTCTGAGTTAATTTCTCAAATGATCACTCAAAAAGTTAGTTATATCCCACAACAAGGGGTGGAAGCCCGGAGCTAGAAAGCTACTTTACCTATAAGTTTGGTTAAACTCAATAATTTTAGTCTAGACTGTCGCATGACACCCTCCTGAGATGTCTTGGAAGGGTGACATGAGGCAAAGTAACCCGACTTGGGTGTGATTACTTTCTGTCAACGTCAACGACAACGTCAAAAACATAATATATTAATTCAGAATCAAATGAAAATTTGCTTGTAGTAGAGAGAAACAATTGCAAGAAAACCAACATTGTGCTGAGGGAGAGGAAACACCAATGCATTGCTTGCTGAAATTCTTGATTCCACTTCGTTGTCGTAAAAACTCAGAATTCATAAAGTTCAAATCATGATATCACTTTTTTTTTTATAAATGAATTTGTCTCGAGTTTTACATACGAATTCAAATTAGTCTGACTAATGAATTTCGGTGCTCAATGGTTACATAACAACTTTATAATATATATCATTGCAAGTGGACTGTATCATTTATTTAGATAATGGACTTGTGGAACAAGCAGGCCCAGACATATAGGGCCCAAATCTACATCTTTAACAGCCTGTTAAGAGTTAATGGAATCAACAATAGGCAGAAGTGGAAAATATGTCATAGTGCTAATAGTAATGAAAAAAAAGATTTTTTTTTTTATAAATGTTAAGAAAAATCAATTTTATCCCAAGATTTTGAACTATGCGATCATCTCTGATACGATATCTCATCTAAAAACTTAAGCTGTTAGAAAAAAATGTAATTTTATTAGTTAATTATATTCTCGATAAAAAGATCCATACTACTATATATCTGATATTACAATAGAAGACGTTATCGCCTGATTATATTTGTGCATTACAAATATGTTTGAACAGATCCAGTGATAATGGTATATTACTCAGCTCCTTCCTTTTGGTAAAATATAACACATGAAGTCTTCAATTTGAAAGATCGTTTTCTTCCATTTAAGTTGTGAATAATTATTAAAGATCGTTTTCTCGATAATGCATGGTACAAACATCATATATTGCTAAATAATGGACTATAATTTAAGGGCATAGAAACTAGGTAGATGTCAATTTTGTTATATAAATGTTTTTATGTAGTGAAGCACTTGAAATCACACAAATCACCAAGTTGAGTAACAACATCAATTGTCTAGCCAAAGTCATCTCAAGTCATTTTCAATAAAATAAAACTTATTATATTTTTTTCCAACTAAAATCCACTCACCTGTTTTTTTTTTCCCTCTTCCATTAATGCATTGAAAAGTAAATGCTTGTTACATCAAGTTAATTTTGTGACTTGACATCTTAGAATTCTTGTTCTATTTCAAACTACTTACATAATTTTTGAAAAAGTTAATTATAATATTTGAACATGAAAGTAAAACGCTCCTTATCAAAAACGATTATGTTCTCACGACTTGAACGAGAAACTTATAATTAAGCAAAACGCTTCGTTTTGTTTTTTGTATTTGTTATTTTGATGTATGATATTCATTTTTGAAGTCTGATTAATTTAAATTTATACCACGAAATTAAGATCTATTAAAGCGAAAAAAAACCCTATAACATGATAATTATAGGGAAAAAAACTACTAGAACTTTAATGTTGAAAAAGTTTTAGCCAAAGTCCTTCCATTTGAAGAAAATAGACTATACTTTAAAAAGTATTTACATGTATTATTATGCAATGATTAACTTATAAATTCCTACAATGAGTGGCAAATAATAGGTTTCAATTTTCAATTGGTTAATACCAATTGGAAGCCATAATTATTTCATTATTAGTCTTGTAAAGTAAACTTCCTTTTAGGTATTAAAATATACTCGATATTTGCCACCATCAACAATTATTGTGAAATGAATATATACTATTTTTTTTTACAATTGTTCAATTCAAATCCTAGAAAATATTTCTTTATATTATGCGAATTTAAATTAGTCAAATCAAAAACTTTTTCGTATGTTTGTAAATAAAAAATAAAAAAAAATCTAATTTGATATTTAATATTTGTATTAAAGCTTGATAAAATTTGAATTCGTACAATGAACTCTCACATTAAAAGGTAAAACTTTCTCTATCATAAAAACTTAAACTCGAAATATCTGATTTAACGACGAATCAATACTTGAATGTCCACTTGCTTTTTAAGTCTTATTCCTTAGAAATTTAACATTATAATCTTCTAACATTCCTTTGGCCCCATGACATTGACTTTGTAATATCCTACTTGCTTTTTAAAGGCTTCAAACTACAACCACACAATTTAAAGAAATTCTACTTTGTCTATGTCAAAAAGTTAATCACTTTTTAACTTATTTCACGTCCAATAAAACTTATAATATAAATATAAATATTTAAGTTACTAAGTTGAAGTAGTCACTTGGTCTTAATAGAGGTTCGATTCTCGTTAGACCCATATCAAGAAGTTTACGCACTACATATTGTTATTTGTGTAATTTACTAAAATACCTTATTTATTCGATGTTTCTTAAGAATTGAACGTTTTATAGTTCTAAAACAATACAATGGTATAGTTACAAACAATTATTATCTCTTATCTTAAATTAATCAATTTTAGGAAAAAAAATTTCCTTGCTAAAGGATAAAGGAGTTTTTTTTTTAAAAAAAAAGATTATATTTCAGAAAATATTTTTAATCGTACAAATAACCACAATTATATTTCCATTCTTTTCTAAACTTATTTTATTTTATATAAAATAAAATAAAATAAAATCTGATTTCTTTAGGAAGCACATGGCAAAGGTGTCAAAATCCTTCTGCTCGTGCTGATTTTCATATCACATGCCTTTTACCAATAGTTTACCTTATTTCTTTTTTTTGAAAAAAGACAAATATATCTGAACTATCGTAAATGATATGCAAATACCCTTGATCATATTTTTGAGACATTGGTGTCCATGTCATCCAAAGGTTAGAGAACATATACCCTTTATACTATCGGACATACACGGTGTCATAATCTTATCCACTGATCCGATATTTATCGACGGATAAGATCGTGACATATGTCCCTATTTAGTCCACCGTTAAAGTGAACATGCATATAAGCTCTAGTTTTTGAACGGCATGGACACCAATATCTCAGAAATATGACGAAGGATATCTATATATCATTTACGATAGTTCAAAAATATATTTATCTTTTTGTCTTTATTTTTTAATAATTTAATATTCCATACTCATTTTGAATCAAGGATATATATAAATAACTAATACTTTTCATTATGAAATTGAAAAATAATCATCTATTACATAATTTCTAAGACATTTAAATAAGGCTTCACATGTAAAAAGTGCCTACCCCATACTATTACTATATATATTATTAAATCACTTTATGAAAATTATATTACAACTCGATTGGAGAAATTTCAAAATATAACATAAAATTTCACTCGTAAAAAGTGGTTAATCCGTACTATTACTATTATTAATAACATTAATGTACCAAGGACGATTCGATTTTAAGGTTCAATTTGCTAGCTTTTGCCATTGCTTTCGGCCTTTCAGATTCGATTAGTCTATAAATATATCCTAAAGTTTTGTTTTTTTTTTATGAAAAATAATCAAATATATTGTTGAATTCTTCAAAATGAATTTATTTTACCCTCTATTACATCTTTTTTTTGGTTAAAAAATAACTTTTCATTACTAAAATAGTTGAAAAATACATCGTATTATATAGTTTAAATTTTGAATTTGTCTCGTTAAATATATAAAGCTTATATCTGTACTAGAAAGTCGGTAAAACAACAGAAAATACATACACAAAAAAAGTTCATAGTACCTCAGAGTGTCAGCTCTTTCACTTTCCATTGTCAACAAGAAAAAGGTTCAATTTTTTTTAAAAAGATTACATTTTTATGTAATTTATTTGTTAATTACTCATAAAAGATTATATCTTTGTTTAATTTGGTAGCATTTGTTTATTCATGTGAGATTTATGTGTATAATATTCAAAGAATGTTTGTTTATTTTGAGGGAAAAAAAATACTTTTTTAAGTAATGGGTATTTGATGATTGATTTATTACAGTTCATATCTTGTCAGCAATCCGCGTTTTTTTTTTTTTGTATTAAATTTGTTAACTTGGAGTGAAATTCTTTGTCTCTGCAGTCACTATCAGATCTGAATTTTGGTTTTGTTTGTGGGGGAAAACATAGCAAGTTAAAAAAGGCATTGTCTTTACAAGGTAATATCCAAGTGTATTGGGGTGTGTGTGTGTGGTGGAATTTGGGATATTTTAAAACAGGTGTCAAATGGAATGAAATTTTTAGGAGATTCTTGAAGCTTTGGTGTTGTTGATGTGTTTGTTTTGGTGTTGATGGGGTTTGGGGATCAAGTTTTGAGCTTTAGGAGAGTGTTTATTTGGGAATGATATTGTTAAGGGGTTCTTTAAGTTTTATGTTGTTTATATGTTTGTTTTGGTGTTTTTGTGTTGTGTGTGATTGGATTTGGGGATAAAGTTTGAAACTTTGGAGGTTCTTGAAGTTTTATGTTGCTTATGTATTTGTTGTAGGTGTTTTTGTGGTTGAATTCGGGGATCGAGTTTGAAACTTTGGGAGAGTTCTTGGGAGTGAAAGTGTTAGGAGCTTCGTGAAGTTTTTCATGTTGTTTATGTATTTGTTTCTAGTTGTTTTTGTGGTTTAAGTGCGGGATCAAGTTTGAAACTTTGGGAGAGTTCTTTATAGGGAATGAAATTGTTTGGAAGTTCTTGAAGTTTCATGTTGTTTATATGTTTGATCTGATGGCTTTGTTGTGTGTGTGATTGGATTTGGGGATCAAGTTTGAAACTTTCGGAGAGTTATTTGGGAATGGAGTTTGGAGGTTCTTGAAGTTTCATGTTGTTTATGTACTTGTTTGTGTTTTTGTGGTTGAATTTGGGGATCAAGTTTGAAACTTCGGGAATGAATTTGGAAGTTTCGTGTTGATTATGTGGTGTATGACTGTATTTGGGGTTCAAGTTTGAAGCTTTGGGAGGTTGTCAGGGAGTAAATGTTTGTTGGATCGAATAGACTGATTAAGGATTCTATTATTGACTATTGTGGAGCTCTTCTGATGAGCTGAGATGTGAAAAAATAGAAGTGATCTCAGGATTAAAAGAAAAGAAGAACGTGGGAGGTTCATATTCTCTGGATTCGACTATAACAAGGTATAAGTTTCAACGTCGTGTTGGAATTTGGGAGATTTAACTTGGAATAGTTTGTAGGTCGAAAATGGGGTCAAGACAAGAGAGGCATAGATCTGATCATGATCTTGTGCCATTAGCAGCACTGATAAGCAGAGAATTGCGGAATGAAAAAATGGAGAAGCCAACTGTAAGATACGGATGTGCAGCTCAGTCTAAGAAAGGTGAGGATTATTATCTGATGACGACAGATTGCCAGAGAATTCATGGCAATCCTTCATCCGCCTTCTCTGTGTTTGCGGTATGTATTTCTCCATCTTTTTCCCCATCAAACTCCATCTTTTACCACATTAAGTGGGGTCGATGTGAATTTTTGTATCAATTTCACTTAGTTTCAGGTTTATTGCACCCTGATACATTTATCCATTTCTCCATCTTCTACTAGACAAACTTGTCGTCTTAATCAATCGATTACATGTAAAATTTCCAGTCTTTCTTGCATTGGTTCCATACACCTATTAATCCAGTTTGATGTCACCCATTCTATCTATAGGCCATTTAAAATCATTATTTGGATTTATTCAGTAGAATTGTTTTTTAAAATTGGACTAGATACTGAAGGTTGACGGTCCTGTCACTGTATTTGCTTTGTATGTTCCATAGTCTTTCCATTTTATTCAAGGTTGTTAAGTATTGATATGGTTCAATATTACTTTTGGGACTGAAATTGTGTGCTGGTCGAATTTTGTTTGAGGTTCAGGTAATATGATGGTCCTTGCAGCTGGATTCTTCAGTTCATTAATTTTCCATGTAATTCTTCTTTCCGTCAGATCTTTGATGGACATAATGGAACAGCAGCCGCAGTGTACTCAAGGGATCATCTACTAAATCATGTTTTGGGTGCCATTCCTTGTGGACTGGGGAGGGATGAGTGGCTTCAAGCTTTGCCTCGTGCACTAGTTGTAGGGTTTGTGAAAACTGACAAGGAGTTTCAGAAGAAAGGCATGAAATTTGTGCTGCATTTCACTTTATAGCTATTTTATTTTGATTTCATGGTTCAATAGTGCTAATGTATATAACTTTCATTTGTCACTGCAGGACTAACATCTGGAACTACAGCTACATTTGTGATTGTTGATAGATGGACCGTGACAGTTGCGTCTGTTGGAGATTCACGCTGCATTTTGGATACTCAGGGTGGTGCTGTTTCAGAATTAACTGTAGATCACAGGCTTGAAGAAAATGCAGAGGAGTAAGTGTCCATCTTCTAAATCATTCCATCTGGTGTGTTGATCAGAAAATGTTCATCATCTCTTAATTAATTGCAGAAGGGAGCGTGTCACAGCAAGTGGAGGCGAAGTAGGAAGACTTTGTATTTTTGGTGGTACTGAGGTGTGTTGTAAATTTGCATCTCCGATATCATATCACGGATGTGATAGAAAACTTCCATTTTGCATCTGCAGATTGGTCCTCTTCGCTGTTGGCCAGGAGGTTTATGCCTTTCAAGATCAATCGGAGATATGGATGTAGGAGAATTCATTGTTCCAATACCATATGTCAAACAAGTGAAAGTAATACCTTGCTTTGCTTTGCTTTTCTTACTCTCTTTTAGACCATCTTAAGATTTACCTTCCTACCAAATCCCGATGTACTATTTTCTGTTCTATATCTGATGTCTCAGGTAGAGACGAGTAAATTCATGAATGGCTCAGGCCCTAACCTTTTCAAAACATTTTGAAGCTATCAACTGTAGGTGGAAGGCTAATTATTGCATCTGATGGAGTTTGGGATGCCATATCATCAGACATGGCTGCCAAGTCTTGTCATGGCTTGCCTGCTGAGCTTGCTGCTAGACAAGTTGTGAAGGTAGTGGAACTCACGCATCTTTGCATCGATAACAAGTACTTAGAATGATATCTTTAACTCATTTACGTCGTTGATTGTCTAGGAAGCTTTGAGGACACGAGGGTTGAAGGATGACACAACATGCATAGTAGTTGACATAATACCTCCCGATAACACTGTACAGCCTGCAACTCCGCCCAAGAAGTATAACAAGCTTCGATCTCTTTTTTTCAGAAGAAACTCGCAAAAATCTGCTGGTAAACTATCGAAAAAGCTGTCAGCTGTAGGCATTGTAGAAGAACTGTTTGAAGAAGGCTCAGCAATGCTTGCTGAAAGGTCAGAATTCTCTGGAACTTTGAAACCTTATTAATACTTCATGAAGCTTTCTGTTTCTGTTGATTTTGAATTGAATAAATTAGACAAGATTGATTGTTAAATACCATAACTATTCAACCATGTTAATAAGCGTTGAGATTTAGCCTAAATGTGGTCTCGTTACATAGATACGAGGTGGTTGGCATGTTTCCCTCGGATCTCAGTATTCTTGACTTCTTTTTTCTCAATTTTCTATGAATGTTTTCAAGAAGAAGAGTTTGATCGTTGTGTTATTATGTGGATTGCAGATTGGGGAGTGAGGATTCAAATGGTCCATCAATGTCCGGTCTCTTCATTTGTGCTGTTTGCCAGGTCGACCTTGCTGCAAGTGAAGGCATATCAGTACATGCTGGTTCAATTTTCTCGACAAGCTCAAAGCCTTGGCAAGGTCCATTTCTATGTGCTGACTGTTGCAATAAGAAGGATGCCATGGAAGGAAAACGACCAAGTGGTGTTAAAGTCACTTAACTCGTGCATCGTTGCCAAGTTGTGTCTACAATTTTGTTACAGTAATTCTTTCTGATATCTGCCTCATATCTTAGTTAAATTCAAAGGTGATTTATTGAACATTGGCATCAGAGCATAATACTATATGTCAGCCAATAATGTAAATAGGTTCTATCAAACGAAGAAGTGTGATAATAGTTATGAGATTAATCTAAAAGATGTATTTTCTTCTTGTTGTTCCTTGCTTGTTGCTACATCATCTTTTTTCATCTGTGTTTGAGCGGAGTGTCTATGTAAAACAACCTCTCCACCTTCTCAAGGTCTGGTTACACACTTGACGTTACCCTTCTAGACTCCACTCGTGAGATTACACTGAGTTTATTGTGAGTTTATTGTTTGTTGTTGTAATAATGACAAAGAGGAATTTAACTTAACAATTAAGTTAATATCTACTCTTCCTTCTCTTGAGGTATTATCTTTTTCTTTTAGCACGAGAGAATTCCGAATGTCTTGGTCTTTTTTTCTTTTGTTTGCTTCTTCATGTCTTGAATTATTCAAATGCAACATTAGTGTCGGTCGGTATCCAAAATAGTATAATAAGATCAATTATTGGGAGGAGTTCATATGCACTCGATATTTAAACCAAATCAATAGATGCACATCATGTATCTGTTTGGACATAAATTTTCCATAACTGAATAGATACAAGATTTTAACTACATCTAATTGTGACCAAAAAGGACCCCAAAACCTAGTTTGAGTGGCTAAAGTTGGAGGATGTGTAGCTTAGGTCGCAGGTTTAAGCTCCACACAATACAAAGTGAAGTCTGATATTTAAGTGGTGAAGGGTAAAGGAGCGGATCCATTATGTACCGAGTTTAAAAGGTTGTGATTGATTCAAAGGGTGGATCACAGACGAATTTCTCCATTATCAAAAAAAAAAAATGTGTGACCAAAAGAAGAAAGGAAAAGTCAGTTTAAATAATACAAAGAAAGAAGAAGAAAAATTCTTAGATTCTGATCAATTCAAAATTAATGCATAGACTTTTCCAATCCCAAGTCTTTGCAGTACAGTTCTTAGAGTAATGTTTGGATTGGCTTAAAACAATAGGTTGATTGTTCATATATTTTAAATTGTAATTTTTTGTCAAATAATTTGTGATATTTACTATCGTGTAATTTTCTTAATATACCGTACATAATGTTTTCAAGTTACTCACGTGAGAAGCACGTGTCCAGGATTCGTATTATGATGAATTTAAAGCTCCAAAATAAAAAGTTGAATTATCATTTTGCCCCTCTGCTAAAGTAAAATTTGATTGAATATAAATATTTTGATCACTTAATTGTAGAATTTGAAGTTCTTAAACCCTTCAATAATTAAATTATCATTTTCTTGATAAATGAGTACATTGATATTGCTTTTAATCTTAATCATAAAAATCTCATAATGAAGGAATTTGAAAAATTATGATATTAAAAGTTATTCATCACTTTAATGTAGAAAACAATTTCAGAATTAAAATTAAAATTTAAAGGATCATTTCTTACTTCTATTTAAGAACCAAATTATAAAGACGCAATCTCAAATAGAAAATCGAATTATGGAAATTGCACAATTTAACATGAGAAAATAAGAGAGTTAGAAGTTGCAAAATTTAACATCGAGCATGAAGACTTCCTTTGCGATATCCTCTAACTTTTCGTTCTTGCTTAATTTCTCCATTATAAAAATTTTCTTCAATGAAGCATTTAGAATTGTATGGGTGTTGGACTTGAAGGAGGTCATCTTTTTTAAACAGACTAAAAAAAAAAGGAGGTCATTCTTTTTTAAACGGAGGAAATAATATTATAATCATTTAATTAATCATTAAATAATAAAACACATCGTATTACAAGTGGAAAGACCTTAAATGAAAAGTTACATTATAATCAATCATAATATAATACTTACTGCCCTAATGACTTAATGAAATGTCCAGATCATAAATGTTGAAGTAATTTTCTAGCAATATCTTTAAGAGAAAAGACCAAATAACCACTTAATAGCACAGATAATACTAATTCAATTGGTTATTTAAATACAATTAGGAGTTTTTTTTCTTTTGCATTATCTTTTTTCAGGTAAATACATCTCAAATCTAATATAAAATTTGTGTGTAATGTTCTATAAAGAAAACATTTTGAAGAAATATTGTTTTCTTTTACATCATGGAGAAACATGTATGCATGTTTAATATAAAGTAACTATTATATAAATAGTATCAAAACTACCCATATTTTAACTTTACAAATATTAAATCATTTTTGAATGTAAGAGTAAGGAGATTAAAATATAAGATTAATATATATTATGCTTTGAAATTTGTATTTTTCAATATACTTTAATATCTAAAAGACAATGGTGAAGATTTCATTAACGAGGTGGCAAGTATTAGCAGAACATTTAACATCGTGAGCCTTGTGGGATTTTGTTTTGAGGGTCACAAAATCTCTTGTATATTACTTCATGTCAAATGGATCTTTTGAAAAAATTATCTATGAGGGAAGATCCGATAGTGTTTGTCAATTAGATTGGCCAATACTGCACAAAATTGCACTAGGCATTGCTCGAGGATTGGAGTACTTAAATTGTGGTTGTACCACTCTGATATTGCTTGAGGAATATTTTTGTTCGAAAATATATGATCTTGTCAAATTGTGCATAAAATAGGAGAGTATTGTGTCAATGTTAGGTCCACAAGGGACTATCGGCAACTAATCGGAAAAATGAACTGGACGAAGAGATTCAACTAATCGGAAAAATGAATGAAGAGATAAAGAATGTGCAAGAAAGATAGTGATGGTGAGTTTATGGCGTATGCAGACTGATCTCACAAATCATCATCGATGAGGAAGATTGTGGAAATGTTAGAAAGGAAAGAAACTCTCCGCAAATGCCTCCCAAGACTTACCTATATTCTCCCACAAGAACAGAAGTCGATTTTTCAGTACTAGTCGATTTTTCAGTACTAGAGTTGCCTAGTCTTAATGTGTTCATATCAGTATAGTAGATCAAATATTAAGACAACTAAAGAAGTTTGGTTCAACCAATATAGTTGTAATTATCTGTCTAAACCTTCAAAGAAATATATATATAACGAAGATTTAAATTTTTGTTATTGTAATTATCTTTAGTCAAAATGCAAAGTTTCCCAGATTTTCATGACAAAGAAAGAAAATCTAAGTTCAAAGAGAACTCTCATATTCTTAATCCTGAGAACTTTCCTAATCCACTAAGTTGACTGGAAAATAACAATAAAAAAATTTTCCACTGAACAATTAACATAATATCTAGTATTCCTTTTCTTGAGGTAGGAATCATTTTGTTCGAGTATAGGATAATTCCATATGACTTTTAGTCTTCCTCTTTTGTTTGCTTCCTCAATTATGAGTATTTTTCCATGATTTATTCACGTTCGATATGTCTTTTTAGATCAACTTAGAGATGCTTTTCCTAGTAGAGCTGAGCAGTAACGGAGTCAGAAATTTCACAAAGGGTGTCCAGAAATAGCACAGTAAAAACTCTTCTAAAAAAGTAGAACTGGTGAGATTCAAACACACGAGCACTACCCCATTCCAAAGAGGTGAAACCACTAGGCTACAATAGCTTATTGTGTTAAAGTTGTCCAAAATATGTTATTTAATCATTTCGTGGATCATTTTACTTATATATACGATATTTTTCGACGAAGGGTGTCCAATTACCATCTGGCTACGCCACTGGAGTTGAGGGTCTATCAGAAACAACCCATGTAACTTCCAATGTAGGGGTAAGCTAAGGTCTACGTACACTATACCCTCCCCAGCTGGACTCTCCAAAAATGAAGTCTCACCCGTGTCGGATACTCAAAAAATGCATTACTTTTGGAGGATCCGACACACACCCTGTGGCTTTTTTGAAGAGTCCGAGTAACATAGCTCCCCAGACCCCACTTGTTGTTGTTATTCTTTTGTTTGTTTCCATGTTTCGTGTAATCTTTGGTTTTGGATATCTGATTTCATTTGTGGTTCACTATGTTTAGGTGACCTCACCTTATTGTTGTTATTACGGTTCCTTGCATATTAGTAACAATTTTACTATTCACACATTGGCATAAATATAGTACCTGATAGCCTTCAATCAAAATGATTTGTTCTATATTCAATTTTTATGCAGCAGCAAAGACGAAAGTTAACTCAAACTAGTGTGGAATCGAAACATACTTGATTGATATATATACACTCGCTACAATTAGTTGTTGTCATGCTTTTAGAAGAAAGTGAAACAAAACTCAATACTCATTCCACCCAATTTATGTCCAAGTCCTTGAGTTTCATGAGCCATTTCTTTGCATCTTGTGCAACAAAAGGTTTAGACGATGTCGTTTCACAATTTACATCATTAGCTAATAATTCAACTTTCTTCTCTTTGGCAAAGCTTGCTTGTCTGTTAGGATGCCTTACCTTAAGTGACAGAAGACGCGAAACTTCATGAAGGCCGCCCCATTTTTCTAACGCACGAGCAATATCATATCGGCCTGTAGGAGATAACTAGTACAAATCAGAAGTATTCGTGAGGTGAAGAACTAGAGCAACTCTAGGCCTGGGAAACATTACGTCGTTTGCATTGTAATCTAGTTCCATACCTGCACGTTCGAAGGATTTTCTACTAGGCATATACGATAGATCCATTCCCCAGTTCTTCTGGAATCGACTGATCTGAGAAATTGCAGATCATTTCCAAGCTCAATCAAAATAATCAAGAAAATATGAAATGCAACTAGGTTGGTTAAATCTCCTAAAAGTGAAACTCGATTTTTTCCTGCATTGATCAGTATCTTATGCTGTTTTTTGTTTTTTTTTGCATGTATTCACAGTTTTTGCATGAAATGAGAAGTTGATAATACGTACGAAGAACTGTTAACTAACCTCCTCTTGTAAATTTTCTAAGCTATCCCAATAACCTTTTGGTTTGCGGTGTTTGTAAGCAAGAGATAGATTCATCAATGAAGAAATTCTTCTAAAACCTCCCATACGTGTAATCGCCTTTTCAATATCAACTCTTCCATGTTTTCTGAGTTGCTTTCTCATAGGCATAAATCCTTCTTGTCCATGTTCGGAAATAAAATCCAAGAGCTCAGCTTTAAGAACTTCAATATCCCTCTGCAACCCTGGAACTTTCGGCCTTTGTCTAGGTGAATGTAAACTACTACTATCTG